AACCTTGGCGAGCAGTTTCAGCAGAGTGGTGAGGTCAGAAGCCAGGCTGGAGTGGATTGGTGAGTCAAGGGCAGGTGAAGAAATGGAAGCAGTGGAGCTTGGTTGTGAAGAGAAGCAAAGAAATTGCGCCGTATTTGGAGAGGGGGTGGACATTCATCCAGTTTTGTTTGGTCGGTTTTAGTGGGAGCCAAAGATCACATTTGTTTGCTGAAGGAACTGATCTAGTAGAGAGGCAGAGTTAGTTTTGCAAGAGCAGGTGGGGGGAGTCAGAAGCAAAGTCCTTGAGCCTGACCCAGAGCACAAGTTGGGGAGGGGAGAGGGGAGATTGGTGTTGACGGGAGGACGGAGCTGGAAGGAAGACAAGATGAGCACAGGTTCAAGGGAGTTTGTAGCTCGACGGTGGGAGAAAAAAAGAGGTCCCATCCGATGGCTTCTATTTTGTCATCAAAATGACGGGAGTTAGGTCTCATGTGAGGGTATGAGGGTGCTGCCGTTTCGAGCAGAGAGAAAAAGATAGACAATGGTTGCTCTTGGAGCGCAGGAAGCTGGCTGATTACAGAAATGGAGGAGCGTGGCCCCCGGAAGGAAGTGGCCTTTGCCACGTGCTCTGCTTCTTCTACCCATGGCACTGGGACTGTGAGTGGTCGGCTGGGTCCAGGTTGGACTCTGGAGTGCGTTACTACAGTCGTGCAACCCGGAGTAGCTTTCTTAGCCTGCCTGAGCCTCAGTTTCCTCAGCCCTATCATTTTAATCCTGCTTGCCCCGCCTACTTCCACCAAAGGGGAGAGCAAGGGCCAAGGCCATTCCACTTTAAATAATTAGCTTGCCTTTTGGGTGTGTGACAGGGGAGAGGGGGTGAAAGGAGAGTGTACCTTCTTCCTTTTGCATACAGAGAGTTCTCACACACCCACTGTCCCCACACATGCGTCTCTCACTCTTAATCCTGAACCAGGGAAGCTCTTCCTGAACATAGGGTTCTGCCCCAAATGTCCCTTTCCCAGATGTCCCCTTCTCAAATACTTCAACAGCTATGTTGGAAAGCCTGACCAAAAAAAATGGACTCTACCATTACCTTGCTGTGTGGCCTTGAGCAAGACCCTTCATTTTCTGGGCCTCAGCCTCCTCCACAGCTCAAGAATAAGGCAGCTGGACCGAGCATGAACAGGAAAGGCAGGGGAGCTAGGAAAGAATTGCGTAGCGGCCTCTCCTGCTGGCTTTCTCTCGCTGCTGGTGGGGTAGGTTTCCAGCCCCACTCCCACCCGAGACTCACAGGAAGACAGAGATTTTTGTGTTGTCCTTTCTCATTTCTAAGACCTTGGAGGGCCTGTACTAGTTAGTGCTGTCTATCCTCCAGCCTCCTCTAAGCTGCCTTCTGTCTTGGAAGCCAACTTCTATACACTATAATCAGGGCACGCTCTGGCTTTGATGGGGTTTGGCCAATGGGAGGCACTGGCAAGACATCAGAGGATGGAGGAGAAAGAGGTGAAAGTGAGAATTTCCTGGTGCCTGCCTGCTTCCCTGTGTTCCTGGCAGTGGTGACATTTTGCGGTTATAGCTCCAGCTGGGGGCCCCCTGTTCCGGCAGCTCCCACTGGTCCAGGGGAGGCATGCTGGAAGGACTTCTTGCTGTTGTCAGGTGCTAGGGACCCCTTGTCAGCTCCCCTTCCCCTGCACACACCCCTGTAAACAGTCTTTCCAGTAAACCCTCTTCAGCAAACCCTCTGAGCGCACCTTCCCTTTCCTGTCACCCCTGATACAGACTTCTGTCTACCTCTCTTCCAAATTTCAGAACTGGTATTCTCACCAACCTCAGCTGTGAAAAGGTGCACTACAGATGAGTTTTGAAGGAGGAACAAAGCATAGGTTCCCTTCTCTGTTGCTAGGCACTTGCCTTCCGGCTGCACACCTCTCTGATCCTCAGTGCAAATGAGTAAGTGGCAAGTCATCTAATGCTCTGCTACCGGATGACGTTTTACCAAACACTCTTCTGTTGCTCACCATAATTATCTGCACTTGTGTATCAGCTGCATTCCTCTCCCCATCTATCTCATTTTTTGGTGGACAGGCTCCCGAACTCCCTCTGTTATTCACGCATAACACAGGAGTGAGTCACACAAGTGGGAAAAGTCAACAGGGCTCCTTCTACCTCAGTCTCCTCATCTGTGAAAATGGGATGATAATACCATCAACCTCATAGAGTCGGTGTGAAGATTAAATGAGTAATGTCTGTACGTGCTTGGAACAGCTGGTACAAAGTATTAGCTAACAGTATGATTTTTTGAGCCATCTTGGCTCACTTGACGATAGCTTGTATGTAGGGAAGGGGGACAGGTGACCTGAGTTGGGGTGCCTAAGTTGCCCCACTTTCAATGCTTTCCTCAGCACCCCTTCCCCCTCTATACCCCATTCCCAAGTAGATTTCCTTCTCTGCCACCTTTCATCCCAGGAAGCTTCTGGAAGGGCAAGCAGGACATGTTGCGATTCTTGTGTTTTCTGCTCTCAGTCCTAGACCAGTCATTTTCAGATGGTGGCCTGAGGATCCCTGGGGTTCCCAGGAAGCCCCAAAGATCACAGAAAGTGGGTCACACCCTTCAGCTTGCCTTTATCTGTTTAAGCTTCCTTGGAACAAAGGCTTCCAAGACTTTAAAAAGTTGAAAATCTCTGTTCTGAGATATTGAAGCCCCAGAGTTTACAACGCTCAGTCTTATTTTCTTTGGCCCTATTGCCAAGGAACTTTCTCTACTCTAGTCAAAGAGTTTGTATTCTTTTCCACTTCTGACCCTCTACAACAGATATATGAACAAACAAATCTTTGTGTACCATCTGGGGTGTCTTTCCCAGGTCTGCATGTTAAGCACACGTTGTCTCCTTAAGTCCCAGGTCCCTGGGGAAGATAACTACAACAATGGAGACATTTGAATGCACTTGACTTTTCCTGGCATCTGATCCAGCCCTGGAATACTTCCAATCCCGGGAATCCAAGGTTACCAGGGGGCCATCTATCCTGATCACCCCTTGCCAGGCCTGCTCCCAGTGGCTGCTGGGAATGAGGGAAGTGGGGGTGGCAGAAGCTACACAGGGCTGATGCCCAGGGAGGAGTACTCAGAATCTGGAGAGGTCTGGGGAGGTTGGGGAGGTCCTAACACTCCGACTGGTCAACACATAATTTCTTTATGCAGTTCAAGACTTTGGGCACAGAGAATATAAACACGCGAAGGCAGCAAAAGCCCCAACCTCCGAATCTCTCCCTGGAATGTCCTTATTCCAGATTGCGAGGCTGCAAGGCTTCATTTGGGTCTTTGGCTCAAATGCTGCCTCATTAGAACTGCCTTCAGACTGGGAAAAGAGGAGCCCCTGCCGGAGGTTCTGAGCTCCCTGGCCCTCTTCCAGTGATGCCCCTTTCCACAGAGCAAGAAACCCATGGGCCAAAGGGCAGCGCCCACCCAAAGCTCCTGCACCTCACGCCTTCATAGATCATACTATGGTACCCAAGAACCTAGAACTCACTGCCCCGGTAGTACCAGGCCAGCTTCCAGAGACTGCATCAGTTTTTTTCCCCAAGGTCCATCCTCTTGAGGAGGGAAGGAGTGGCTATTTGCAGGAGGTGCGGGTGGGTCTCAGATGTGCAGACAAGGATGTTACAGGTGCGGCACAAGCCAGAGTACAAAGAGTAGTAGGGAGGTCCAGGGCCAGGGACCAGTTACCGCCTAAGTCACCCAATCCAGTGCACATCTTGGATTATTATGAAGGTATCCTAGTCAAGATGAAAGGATAGGAATTTTATGTAACAGCTTAACTGGGTTTATAATTTTTAAATATGTAGACATATGATATGTGGGCCTCCATTTGTACTATTGACTGGGGCCCTGGAAATATTCGGGGTGCGCCCGGCCCTGACAACCCTGTCTAAAACGAAAAGCGCTTCTTCTGTCACTCTCTTCTGTTGTATATTTCTTCACAGTATTTGCCACCAGCAGATCTACACTTACTTAAGTATCATCTCTCTATTTCCGTCACGAGCAGGTTCGTTCCATGACTACTGAGTCTTGGTTTTGTTTACTGCCTTAATTCTTAGTACCTACAGCAGTGCCTGGCACAAAGACACCACACAATAAATGCTGAACGAATAACAAATCTAGTCTCACGTGGCTTATTGGTGAGGTGGGCTAACCCAGCAGACACAAAGGGTAGAGATCATCTGCCACAACCCTGTGAGGAGGGCCTTCTCCCCTTAGCACTGGAGCTACAAAAGGGGACCAGGAAAAATGAACCATAAACAACTTAGTAGACATGAATGCAAGATTAATTATCAGGTTACATGTGAGACGGGCTTTTAAGTGAGTATGTGGGGCTGCGAGGATGCTGGAGATTTAGATGTGGGGGAACCTGGGCTGCCGGAAGCCCCAATTGGAGGACTCGCCCCAACAACCTTATGAGTGTGGCCACACCTGTGTGTTGAGGAATCCTGATTCCACCGCAAAGGCCACACCAATCCAGGGCAGCCTAAGGTGGCGAAGGTGCTTGTTGTCCATGATAAGGGAGACGTCCAATAATGTTTCCTTTACATGGTCACGGTCTCAGGGGGTGTGGGCACATCTGATCCCTGTGGGGTCATGTGACCAAAGGCTCAGAGACTGTCCTACCACCCGTCCCTCTTCTCTCCCACCGGCTTCTAATTCACAGCGTCTTAGTGCTTGGCGGGATCCCCCCAAATTTCCTGGAAAACATTGGTCCAATGTACTCCAACGGCCTTCCTCTCCTTTGGATACGGGGCCCGTGAGAAGCCAAACGACCTCCCCAAGTCCCAAGCAGAGACCGGATCGCGGGTCCGGGGCTCTGCCCCGCGAACGCCCCTTTTCTTTCATTTGGGGGTGGGGGCTCCAGGGCTTGGCCAGCGGGGCGGGACAACGGGCGGTGCCGGGCCGCGGTGGGCGGGGCAAGGGAGGAAACCGCCAGGCCGGGGGTGGGCGGGCCCTGCGTGGGCGTGGCCACGTGGCCCCGCCTTCCGGACGGAGGCAGGAGGTGCGGCGGCGCCACCGCGCCACCAACTCATCCGAAACTTGTGCGCAGTGGTGGGCGCAGCCGCGGAGGATGGGGTGGTGCGGCCGCCGCTCGGGGCCGCCGCCGTCGCCGCTGCTGCTGCTGCTGCTGCTGGCGCTGCCCGGGGTTCGCGCGGCCCCGCGCTCGGCGCTCTACTTGCCCTCCGACCCGCTGACGCTGCTGCAGGCGGACACCGTGCGGGGCGCCGTGCTGGGCTCCCGCAGCGCCTGGGCCGTGGAGTTCTTCGCCTCCTGGTGCGGCCACTGCATCGCCTTCGCCCCGACGTGGAAGGCGCTGGCCAACGACGTCAAAGGTGAGAAGCCAGGGGCAGGAGGGCAGCCCGTGCCCCTCGCCCCACCCGGACCGACCGTCCTCACCCACCTGCCGGGCCGAGAGGCCCTCGCACGCGGCCTGCGTCCCCCGCCCCTCACCCTCGCCCACCTCTTCCTCTCTGTCCCTCCCGCCTCCCCCAGTTTCATCCCTCAGCTGCATTTTTGCTCCCGCCCCTCCCTGCCTTTTCCCCCTTTTCTCTCCGCGTTCCGCGGCCTGGGCCCCCAGACCGCTCTGCTTTCCCGGTTGGACCTCTGCCGACCGCCCGCCCTCATCCCTGCGACGGGGTCTCCTTTGTTCTTCCTCGTCTGACACCTTAGGGCTTCCTCCAGCCCAGCCTTGTGACAGTCCCCTCCCTGTCGCTCAGGGACCCCTGTGGGCTCCTTGCCAGGTTCCCCAGCCGCTGTGGGATCAGTGCTGGGGAGAACAGGAACTGACACTCAGCCCCAGAGGCGGGTTGGCCCAGCGGGTACAGAGACTCCGTTTCTCAGCTTTACCTTGGAGCCAGAGTTTTCCTGTCTCAGTTCTAGGCCTCTCCCGACCGGCTGCCTCAGGCTCCGTAGCTTCTGGACCACATCCTTCTCTCCTCCCCTTGTCCATGCACCCTCTTAGGCCCTTCTGTTTTAACCCTTGAACCCAGAGGCCTGACTGAAGGCAGCCTCTTGGTGTGTGTCTGACCCCTGCTCCGTGTTCCGGGTCGCTGGCCTCACCACTCTAACCGTATTGCCTTGATTCACCCATCAATTGTGTGAGACACCGTTTATGTACTAACTGCCTGAAGGGTAGAGGGATAAGACCACTAAATGTAGTGACTGAAAGGTGTACTTGTATTTCAGAAATGTTAACATTTTGAAAACTTACGACTTACAGCTGAGGCATACTGGTAATAATAGTAATTAATGAATGTTTACTGAGTGCTTCCTGTATGTCAGACACCTTCCTAAGTGCTTGACATACGTTATCTCAGAGTTTCCACAATTTAAAGACCCCTGGAGTGTCACACAGCTGCCTAGCCCAGGTGGTGTGTGTATGGGGGCCAGGAGTGGTGGTCGTGATTTGCTTCTGATTTGCTGCCTCTGAATGGAGGTCCTTCCTGATTGTGGTGCTAGGGCCCCAGCAGAACTCCTGATCTGAACTGGTCACTGAGTGAGGACTGTGGGCATCTTAGGAAATAGGCCTCTTTCTGGAGGGAGGCGAACTGGAACCATTGTTCTCCTGCCGTGTAGCTGATATTTCTATAACGCAACTGTTGGTGGTAGAAGAGCACATTTGTAGATGGTCGTTTTCAACTCAGGTGCCCTTTTCCCTTGAGTAGCTCCCCTTGAGTGGCTGGATGGAAAGATGTATACATCTTGTTAGCCACATGGTCCTGGAAAGTTATTTTTAAACAAAACTGATAAACCATGTTACCTCCAATTTACATACAGACACTTGTTTGCGTGCCTTTCTGGCCCCATCAGCTGAATGTGCCATTTCTCAGCAGCTCTTGACACTATTTCAGTGATGTCAACATCTCTGGTCAGGGCAGGAAGGAGGAAGAATGTTGAACATGAAATTGGAACATCTAAGGGGACATCAGGTGTTCAGGGGACCTTGTGGGCCTAAACATCATGAAAATCCTGCGATGATTTTCCACTTTGAGGCTATAAGAGGCCTTTAATGGCCGCAGATCGACTCAACCTAGGAGATTCTTATGTCTTAAGAGTGCTGGAGGGAAGGCTTAGCTTCCAGCTGACTCATGTGCTTGGCCTCTTGCAACCCAGAGTTTTCCACTGAATCGAACAGCCAGATACCGACCGAGCCTACTCCTGGATGAAGGTTGCCACTTCCAAAAGGAATATTTTCCTCCCGAGTGCACGGAGTGACAGTCTCGTCCCCCACCCCACGCGCCTCCCCACCAAAAAAAAAAAGCGAAACTTAACTTCAGAAAGGAAAACGGAAGCACAAAAGTCTGTGGAGATGAACCATAGTCAATGGGAGGTGACAGATTTAGGCGGAAACTGGAGGTCTCCCATGAGCGGTGGGATAAGTCAGCCCCCTAAGCAAGATCGCGTCCTCGGAGGGCACTGGCTGAATCTGGTGTGGGCCTGCCATGGTGACGAATGCCCACCCGCCCCACTCCAATCCAAGGGGCTGTTTCCTGGTGTGGCTCTGCTGAGAAGCCAGGCTGCTCTCCCGTCATCTCTGTTCAGAGTTTCCTTGAGGAAGTTTGGTTGTGGGCCAGCAAAGGGCCGTTCTCACACCACCCTGGGCCCTAGGAGCACGGCCCCTGCCCTCTGCCGATGGTATAAGTATCTTAGGTAGGAGCAGCAAGAGAATGGAAGGCCATGGGGGGAGAGAAGATTTTGCAACCCGGCCTAGCTGGCCTCCGGCGTTTAATCTGACCAGCTATGCTCATTTCTTCAGTGACTTGTGAATAGGCTCTTTGGGAGAGTGGTTGCCATGGGGCAGAGCTCTTGTTTCTAAGGACCTGGCTCATCTCTTTCTATTCCAGAGCAGCTCTTACTGTCTCACCGTATGTTTGGGAAATTGGTTGGGTTCGTTTCAGACCTTCATTACTCTTCACCTGCTAATCAGTCAGTAAATATTGGTTGAGTGACCTCTGTGTGCAAAGCGTTGCAGTTGAGGGAAGTGAGCTACTACACACAGCGGGAAAATTGGCAACAGGAAGAAGCTGTGTTTGAAAAGGGTCAAAGGACTGGCTCAGGCATTTCTTCTTGTAGGAATTCGGGGAAGCAGAAAGTCACAGGGCTATCTGGTCACCAAAGGCCTTCATTCAAGCAGTTATTTATTATACACTTGCCTTATACCAGGCACTTTGCCCAGGGCCTTTACAGGCTACTAGATATATAACCTTTATAGAAAAGATCTGAGCAATAGATATTATCTATTATTTTAAATTTTTTACAGACAAGTAACTTGCTCAAGATTATACAGGTTCCAAAGGAGCTCCTTGAATCCAGCTCTTTTTGACTCTCCAGAGCCTGGGCAGGTGGAGGAGGAAGGGTCCGCCAGGTGGGAAAGCATGGAGGTGTGATTTGTAAGGCATGGATGTGTGAGTAACCATGAGCAGTGTCGGTTTACCTCCCTTCCTCTTCCAGGGTATAGACCACCCTTCCTACTTGTACCCCTGCGATGCCTAGTGCAGAGCCTGGCACAGGGTGGGAGCCCACTGACCACTCATGCAGGCCAATGGCATGAGCCTCACAGGACTCATGAGAGAATGTGAGTGACCGAGCCTTCTGCCGGTGCTGTGGTTCTTCTTGACTCAGACCTGGGGTCGAGTCAGGGTGTGAAGGGTAAGGAAAGCATTTTGTTCATCCCATGACCTCACTGCCCACAGGCCGTAGCGTGGAGGGAGGGGCGAGGTGGTAACCTCGTAGTCCTGGGTAACTCCCGGCAGCAGGACAGCTCGTGGAGATTTTGGCGGATCTCTGGTTCTGACCGCTCCACCTGACTGGCTCTTGGTGGGTTGGGTGGGTCTGGCTTCTGCCTTAATAATGGCCTGCCTTGCTTAACACCCAGAGGCCTCCTGGCCATTTTTCTTGCCAAATGTGCCATCCAGCACCTGCACGGTTGTCAGGGCTGGAAAGGACATGAGAGACCATCCATCGTGGCCCTCATTTGCCCCATGAGGAAACTGAGGCTCAGAGAGGAGACATGGGGAGCTCATGGTGCTCTGGCCGGTTATAGCAAGTCTTGTGACTTGTTATAGAGCAAGTCCAGTGCCCCTTCCTGAACTTGTGAGTGGGGGCGAAGACACTGCCTGTGACTCTAGAAGTAGCCCATCATCCCCTTACCACAGGGTGTCCCCTCAGCCACCACCCCAAAGTCCACAGCTGCCCTCCTGGACACTCTCGCCTCCCCATCCTTCCCCTCTCCATTTGCTCATTTACTCTGTCGTTAGTGGAGAAATGACTCCAAGGGCAGTAATTGCACCAGGAAATATTTTTGTCCCCAAGAACAGGGCTGGACTGATACTGCTGATCCTTTTGGTGTTTGGCCCGCATGTTGTAGTATCTAAGTCACCTGACACTTTAAAAGGCCTCTCTCACCTGGTTGCTTCCGACAGCAGTGCGCTTTGCCTCACCCGGGAAGCACCAAGAAAAGGGTCCTCTCTCCAGCTCTGTGCTGTTCCTAGAGTGATGAATAGCCAGGCCTACAGTGATTCGTGCAAACCAGAACTTTATGTCGCTGTGGCTCATTAAGGTATTGCCATTGATATTCCTGAGAACTATTCCTCAGTCAGGACTCTCCCAGCCAGCACCTGACTGACCCCAGCCTCCCCCTCCACATCGCTCCCTCTCCGGGGATGGGACAGGTAGGAAGAGGCCCTGGCTCCGTTTCTTGGCGGTAAAGGGAATCAGGGAGAAAGAGAAGGGGTCAAAGACTGCCCAGGAGCAAGGGGCTGGGAACCACCAGGCATCACTTTCCTGTGACCCTGTGCTCCTAACACCCCACCCTCCCTGAGTCTCCTGGCTGGGAAGCCAACAGAGCAGCTCTGTGTTCTCTCCTGGGCTCCCTGGAGACTAGCAGGGAGGCTCAAATTCTGGGTTCAGATTCCAGGCTCACCATTGATTGGTTGTGCACTTCGGGCATGGTATTCTAATCTTTATTTTACAGTCGAGGAAAGCAGATCTTGAGATAAGCACTTTACTTTCCTCGTAGGGTAGTTGTGAGCATTAAATTAGATCCATAAGGCACACAATAAACTCTCTGGCTGTAGGAATTCATCGTGTCTAAGTAAGAGCTGGGTCCGTGAATTACCAAGAATGGTATGGAACCAGAAGACAAAGCTGTGTCTACCATTCTGTCTCTCGTGGGGAGGGCTGTGATTGTAGCGTCCTGATCCTGGTGACATAAACTTGGGAACCCTTGGACGACTTAGAGGCCTCTCAGTCCCTGTCCTCATTTGTAATGTGCAGAAATGACACCACCATGGTGAAGACAGATCACCTGGCGCATCCCCTGGGTGCTCACTAAACGCTAAGCTTTCTCTTCTGTCCCCTTCCTGTCCCTTCAGAGCCTTCGTGCCCCACTGGGCAGCAGGCACTGACTGGCCCCGAGGGGTGGTGGCCTGCGCTCCTGGAGAGGCGAGGAGCAGTTGAGGCCTGTGGTCCTTGGTCACCCTGCCAGGGGCCATCACTGGTGAAAGGATGCGAGATTGCCCGTCTCCTCCCCTTGTGACTAACTGACTCACTGAGACAGCTGGGCCTCTCCTGTGGGTCTCCCTGAACAACGTGACTGGAGCCTTAGATAACAGACGACAAGGAGCCAAGCCTGGAGGGTGTCAGATGGCTGTAGGGGTGACCTGTGCGTCCCACCCTCTCCCGGGCCTGGCTCAGGCAGGGAAGGAGGCCTGGGTGCTGTTGCCTGTGATCCAGGGCGAAACCTGGGCAGCTCTTATCTCCTGCATTCGCAGGTGGCTGGCGTTAACCACCCTCCCTCCCTGGACCTGACAGCAGGTGTTCCAGAGCTGGCGCTGCTGAGAGCCAGCCCCTGGCCCGGGTCAGCTGTATAATTCAGTCATCACTCACCGAGCACCGGCTGTGTGCTGGAAAATGGAGAAGCCAGGCAGCGAGGGTGCCGAAACGAAAAGACATTTAGGGGTGGGTAGGCGAGTAATTGTTGGTAGAAACACAAGCAGGGACCCGAGCCTTGGGCTTATCAGGCAGCTCTTCCTGGATGGAAAGATCGAAAGGATCACTTGGAGGCTGAGTAGGCTGGTGAGGGAGCACAGTTCTCTGCAGTGGAGCCGCCCTGAGAAACCCTGCACCAGCTGAGTAGACGTGGAGGTAGGTTAGAGGTGAGGTGAGGTAAGAACCGAGCGTGGGTGAGGAGATGTGGGAGGGAGGGTGGACAGGATTCGGAGGCTGGTTGGGATTAGTGGATCCGTGTGGACAGACTGCCCGACTCTGCCCCCACCAGGTGGTGCCAACCCTGGGGGTGCAGGTGACAGGGTAGAGCAGAGTGTCCGGGATGGAGGGATGCTGTCCTGAGCCTGGCATGGAGCAGACCCTGGCCACAGCCGCAGTTTGTGCAAGTGAGATTTAAAGCCAAAGGATGCGTGCCGGCTTGCAGATTCTTGGATAAGCTCACACTGCCGCCCTTGTGCCAGGGGAGCCTGGCACAAACCCAAAAGGGGTTTGGCGAGATGGGAGGTTGGGGAAGTTGGGGAAATGGCATGGCAGGGTGTGGCCCACCTGTCTGTGCTAAACACTTCCTTCCACTTCCTATCCCTCTTCCCCTCCTCCGACCCCACTCGCCCCCTCTGGCTAGGATTCCAGAGGCTTCAGTGCCAAGAGTGGATTGCCAGCAAGAAAGGAAGAGGCGGGAGGAGCGGCCAGGAGGGAGAGGTGTGTGTCAGGCCTGCCTCACAGTCCCAGGCCCCTCCCTTGTGTCACCCCAAGAAGGACTAGCTTAGTTGCTCAAAGCCTTTCCTCTGAGGGACGGACAGGGGTTGCCTGGGGGGTGTGTACCTCTTCCTGCATCTGTCTTGTGGAAGGAAGGGTAACACTCCTTCCTGGGCATACAATCTTGGGCGCTCTGATGCCTTCTGAAATATTGGTTTTTTTCCAACATCATAAGGAACAGGTTTAGGGTGAGGTAAGAGGCCTTGGCAAAGCCGTGATTCTCGGGGATGTTATTCAGTTGTTAGTACTCTGTACTTCCTGGGTGCTGGGTGGGCTGCCTTCCGCCCCCACCCTGTCTGTGCTCCACATGGGAGGTGTAGGGCCCAGTGTGGAGCTCGCATGCCACCAGGCAGGCACCCTCTTCCACTCATCTGCCCAGAAAAGCCTGTGGCTCCAGGGCGCTGTGGGATCAGCCTAGATCCCTCCAGGCAGGCGCTCACGCTGGCCTCTGCCTGCCTCCCGCCAGAGCCTCCTCTCTGGTCATCTGGTCTCTGTCAGAGCCCCGCACAGCCTGCTGCCTCTCCGCTCGAGTTGCTCACAGTTCTTGTCAACTCGACTGACTCTCAAGGTTCCATCCAATTTCCACCTGCCCTCCAGGCCCATGCTGAGTCCCCAGGGCTGGTCTGTCCTGTGTCCAAACTCCTTGAGTGCTCCGTGTCCCATGGCGTGGCACCGGTCCGTCGCCACCTCACCATTCCTGTGGGTTCATGCGTGTATATCTTGCCTTCCAGCTAGAGCAGCCTCCCATTAACGTGGAACTTTGGTGGGTAAGCCAAGGGGCACCTTGACCTTGAGTCAGAGCTCAGGAGGCCTGTCTGGTAGATGAGTTTGTTTTCTGTTGCCCAGATCCTGGGCTGTGGCTCAGCACAGAGCCATTATTTTCTCTGCCAGTAAGTTACAGGGGAGGGAGGACTTGCAGCCTGGGGCCTGATGCTGGGAGCTGTCAATCTCCCTCCAGACCCTGGCCTCAGGGCTCTTTCCCTGTGGCTCCTGGATTCGGGCGCCGGCCCTTCCTGCCCTGGATTTTCTGCTTCCATCTCTGGCTGGGGAGCCAGTCCCCCATACCCTACGTCCCACCCTCCACGCTGGGCTGACTGCCAGTACCTCTGGCTGCAGAAGCCATCACTGAGGGTCCCTGAGGAATTCCAAACCTCCAAAGGCCTGTTCTCCACCCCTCTGGAACTGATCCTCTGAGAAGACACAGGAACATAGGGAGTATCAGGGCTTTTCCCTGGAGGGCCAGGCTCATCTCCCATCTCTTCAGCCCCTCCAGCCCCTCCCCTGACAGAATAAGGGGGAACACAGATGCCATTATAGGACAGCGTTGCTTGTGCTGTTTAACTGTCCCACGCACGAGCTAAATGCAGAATGACCACCCTGTGTCAGAGGTCCTTTTCTGAGGAAGGGGGCACCTTTCTCATGAGAGCTTTGGGGGCAGGTGTGGTGGGGGTTGGTAGGGGTGGGGTGGTGCATGGGGGAGGTGAGCAGGCAGAGGTGCCAGCCCCTCTTCCTTACCCGAGTTTCTTTGTCCTTTCAGACTGGAGGCCGGCGCTGACTCTCGCTGCCCTGGACTGTGCTGACGAGACCAACAGCGCCGTCTGCAGAGACTTCAACATCCTCGGCTTCCCGACTGTGAGGGTGTGTGCCAGGAGCGGACAGGGGGGCCTGGGGGCTGGGGCCAGCTGCCGTGAGCTTCCCTGGTCTGCCCAGCCCTGTGGGCTTCTCTGATGCTCTTGGGCTGCATCTGTTTAAGTCCCAGCCCTGGAACGCTGCCCCTTTGCTCAATGAGATACCTGTTGTAGAGGCAGAAAGGGGTGTGACTTGGGAGGCAGAGAAGAAAGGGGTTCATTTGGTCTGGCAAGTTCTCCCGTTTATAAGGGAAGGGGGCTGCGTGTGGGTGTGTTGCATGGGCAGATTTCAGCTGAAGAGATCATCACCTAGGCTGCTGAGAGCGCCCAGGGGACTCTTCCCAATTCCTCTCCCTCCTGACCTCCTAGCCTTAGCGATCTGATATAAACCTTGTAAAACCTATAAAACTAGGGTTCAGGCTCTGGCCTGTCCATGGCATGATCAGACTCAGGGACCCAGTGGTCCCCCAGGAAAGAACCCCAGAGACACTGGCAAGCCCTCATCAGGACTCACCCTCATCAGGCAAGTGCCTTGAACCCGAGTAGTTCGGAAGCGACCTGTCAGGATAGCCTCACCCCACAGTCAAAATGCTAGAGTGCCTCAGGTAGGAGGGATCCCCATCACATCACGTCACATCACGGAAGGTGGCACACCCAGCTCATGAGGGCACTGTCACCACAACTCTGGCTAAAGGCAACAAAGGCCTTACCTGCCAAACTGCCCACCATGGGGCATCGAAAGCATAATTAACTTCTGGACAACTTCCAAGGCTCTAAATAGGAGGCCTCGGAAAGCCCAGAGCAGAAGGCTGTGCTGTTCTATGTAGCACCCTCCCCAGGGCTCGGCCTATAGCCTCCTCCCCCAGAACGGCTTCTAGAAAAGCAGTTTCCAATGACGATGATCAGGAAATGCCTTGAAAGCTGAAAGGCCACACATTGTCCCCAGAGAAAAGTCCCTCTGAGCTCAGGTGCTTCAAGTTCCAAGCAGAACCTTGAGCGTGGAAAACCGGGCCCCAGCCTCCGCCAATGTCCAGCTCTTAACTCCATGTGACCTCACTGTTCCTCGTGCCCAGTCAAGTCCTACTGGGTGCAGGGTCTGCACAGCCCAAGGGAGCTCCCTTTTACTCTCCTGTTACCACTTAGGGCCAGGGCCCAGGCCCCAGGGTCAGCTGAGGCCAGGCTGGTCCGGGCGGGGAGCACCATGGTGAGCCACTAGCTCCTGCCATATCATTTAGAGGTGGCAGCAGAGACATTGCTTATAAACCATCCCTTTCAAGTGAAAAGACCTCCCTGGCAGGGCCATTGCTCTATCCTTGGCCCCAAGATATGTAACAACATATTTTCAATGACTCTCCAGGGGAGGGTGGAGCAGTCTGCTCCTTTTGCTGAGCCAGGGTCAGCAGCCCTGAGTGCGAAGCTGTGGGAAAGCCATTGTGGCCTCCGGAGTCCTAGTTCCCAGGCTGCTGCTTTTCTCCCAGTGGGGACTCATCGCAGGGGTTCGGCCACTGCCCAGCCCCTGGGAAAGGGACTGGCATTGGTACCATGGCCAGGTCAGGACATCCTATGGGGGTTCTGTGGGGCCTGCCACCCAGGGCTTCCTGTTTCCGCCTGGGAGAGGCTGGGGCTCAGTGGGTGAGAAGGAAGGGGGTGGCCCGGGCTCCTCAGTGCCTGCCCCAGTCACGCAGCACACGCAGCCCAAATGCCTCAGGGGATTAATCATCTCTGTAACTGCCCAGCTGGCTGTGGGAGGGCCCTCAGCTGGTCTTGACCTTCCTTTGCCTCCACGGGAAGCACCTGGTTGGGCCGGGCCAGTAGTCACCTGTCCACTTCGTAAGAGCCTCAGAAACCGGTGTTGTGACCTCCCTGCCTCTCCCTGGGAGCCCGCAGGTCAGTTTCGGCAGGGAGAGCCCTGGGTGCCCCATCCTGAGGACTCGTGTGCACGGCCACATGGTCCAAGCGGCTGGCGGGTCTCTGCTCTCGGGCCCTGAGCACCCGCAGTAAGGAGTGTACATGTGCAGCGAAATCCAGAAGCCGGTTTGTGTCTGTTATCACTAAAACAGAAGCTTCATAAAACAATATTCTTACTAAGCGCTATACACACTGATATTTTCTGTTCTGTTTATTTAGAAAAAAATACTGGCTGTGATTCACGAAATTGATTTGACTGCTAATTGCTTCTAGTGTTTGGAAAAGACTACTCAGGTTCCAGATCTGCAGAGATTCTGGCCCGTTGAGAACCTCGTGTGCCTGTGGGCAGTGCGGCTCTATGCCCTTGAAAGCAGACCCTAGAGCGTGGCCTGGCTGCCAGCCGGCCAGAGTAGGACTGTCACCCTGTCTGCTGCCCCCTGGGGACGGGAGCCTGTCCTTGTTCCTACCCATAAAGGCTGAGAGCTCTAAGAGGAGAACACGTGTTGAATAGGGGGAAGAGAGAGTGTTGCTGGTTTGATGGGACAGGCCCACACAGAGTCTGGCCACCCCCAGGGACATAGATCGTGTCCCTTTCCGCGGCCTCCTGCCCTTTGTCACCCTGAGCAAACAGGGAGCCTCCACCAGCCCAGCCTGTTGAGCAAACACCCTGCTCTGCAGGGCGGGCCCCATCAGAGTGTCAGGTCCCCATCAGACTGGAACTGGAACCCAGCGAGAAAAAAACAAAAGTGCAGAGGAAGGACTGGTTTGTACCAGGTTCTGGGTGGTGCTTGGGGACCTAAAGGCTGGGACTTCTGGGGGAAAGGGCTTTGCCATGGGCCACAGGGGTGCTCCTCAGCAGGTAATGGACCAGCACCCTTGGTGACCCAAGGCCTGGTTGGGATCAGGTTTACAGGGAACAGCAGCCTTGGGGTGGGAGGGGACAGAAATCTCCTCTGCAGGATTCTGAGGAGATAATTGATGCGGGTTCAAATCCTGGCTCTGCTGCTTCCTGTATGTGACTCGGGAAGTCGCTTAACAGTGCCCCAGCCTCAGTTTCCCTGTCTGTAAAAGTGGGATGATAACATCCACCTCATGGATTATTGCCAAATGTGAAAGGAGGTCTGACATCTGAAAGTGCCGGGACACTGTGTGGAGTTACTTGGCATTCACTGAATGTTAGTTGTTTTCCTTCCCATTGCCCCACGGGGCTTGTGTCACCGCTGTGGGCACTGCCTTCAAGGCAGTCCATCCTCAGCAGCTACGGAGAGAACGTTTGCTGGGTACACAGCACTGTGCTCACCATTGTGGGACAGGCCAGACAGGTCAGACATGGCCAGAAACATGAGAGGTCACACCCAGACACAGGGCCCGTCTACTAGTTGACAGGCAGTGAGAGACCTGCACCAGTGATGCTGGGAGGTTTGCTGGGCTCCCTGAGCTTTTCCCTCGTGCATCAGAGAGGATTTTGTGTGGGACGGGACTCCTGCTGGATGTGGAAGGACGGATGGGGTTTGGCGAGGAGAGGAAAGCAGCGTGGGCTGGGGAGGAGGTGAGAGCAGAGGCTGTGTGTGGGAAGAGTGGGTGGTGTGCTGAGAGGACTGGTCTGGCTGGAGCAGAGACTCAAGTTCAGGAAGGAGAGAACCCAGTAATGGCGGGGACTTGAATTCGAGGCAGGGAATGTGGACCCCCTGTGGGGGTACAGAGACTGGCCACTACCTTATGTGGCTCTTGCTAGAGGGTGACCCATCAGGGAGGGGGACAGGACTCAGAAAGATGGCTCTGGCACCTCTCTGGAAAGAGGAGATGGGCCGCCTCTCACAGTCGCCTGCTCTCTCCGAGCCGTCTCCTCCACTGACAGCCACAGCGTCGGAATGGGTCAGCTAGTGGATCCTCGTGGGCTCACCAGAAGGTATTTGGAGACTGGGTCATTTTCCTGAAGCTTGGCTTCAGTGCTATCCATGGTCACCACTGGAAAGTGCTTTCTGTTCAGTCTTATCTGCTCCCCGGAGGCAGTCGCTCCTGGTTAGGGTGGTAAAGATCTGCCTGATGCCCGCTGGTCTCCTGCTTTTGGGGAGATGCAGAGGTCCTCAGGGGCTCCGTGCTTAGGGAAGGCAGAGGCTCCTGTGTAAAGTGAGGAAAGGAAAGGGACCAGGTGCTGACTACTCCTGGAAAAAAGAAAACTCACTGCACTTACTGCAGTAACCGGAGAAGTCTTAATCGCCCGTTTCCAAGGCGGTGTGCTGGTTTCCCTTGAGAAAGGCACACCCCCCCCACAGCTGACTTCATACGAATGCATTTTAACAAGAGGACAAAAATGTGCCCTGACTAGGTTGTACTGTGATTTTTACATGAACGCCCAAGATGATCAAAGAGCAGAGATTCTCAGTATAACTGCACACGCGTCTTTTGAGTACTTCCATGTTCTAGCCTCTGGGCCAGGCACTGTGGGGCTGGCAGAGATGAAGAAGTTCAAGTCCTGCCCTCCCAGCCAGGGAGGTGGGTGGAAAGTTCAGATTGAAGTCCATTGTAGCTGAAGTGTGTGGAGTGGAGGGCAGTGGGAGGCGAGTTTGGGGTCAGATCCTGGAAGGCCTCGAATGCCGTGAGCTTGGACGTTATTCGCTGGCAGTGGGGAGTCATGGAGGAGACGTGAGGAGTGACATGATCCGACCAGAACTGTGCCTCAGATAACCAAGAAAAGTGGCAGTGAGGAAGTTGGTTGGAAAATGAAAAGATGGAGCATATTAAAATTTCTGAGAGCATGAAGGGAGAACAGGTAGGGACTGCTGCAGGAGGCCAGGGGATGGGTGGTTGGGCCTGGTCTGGACAAGGCATCTAGTCTAGAGGACGGTTGAAGACGTGTCACAAAGGTCAAATTCACAGAATTTATCCACTGGCTGGATGATGGGGCTGTGGGTGAGGACGATGCTGGCCTGGTGACAGGGAGGAGGAAGGTCACTGGGTGCGACAAGGAACACGGGTGGAGAAACAGGTTGGGGGAGGGGTGACTCAGTCTCGGGGTGCAGGTTTCCCTGACACCTACAGTGTGGAGGGTACCAGGAAGAAACAGATGTCTAGGACAGGTGAGGACCTGAGACAAGGATCAGATTGCAAATTATTTAGGCAAAGGAGATGACATGAGCAAGGGAGACAACAGTAGGTCTCTGTTCCTTCACTCATTTATTCACTCATTCATTCAAAAGCTCAGACTGAGCCTCTGTTTTGACAACCCTTTCAGGGCCATGTAAACAAGAGTGTCATGATCTGATGTGCAGGAGAGGGCAAGGGCCGCGGACAGAGGAGAGGAGTGAAGGGCAGGGGGGAAGGCTGTGCAGGCGGCCACGAAGGCCTGCTCAGTGTCAGGCAGCCAGGGGAGGCTGGTGACAGGAAGGCAAAGAAAGAGCGTCAGGGAAATGGGGCACAAAAAAACGACAACCCCTGGCCAGGGGGGAAAGCAGGCAGTGACAATACCCAGACACCGTACGGAAGCGAGAAAGGCAGGGGAGGTCATTGGCTTGGCCAGGGAGCAGGTCGGCGGAGTGATGGGTCAGGAGCCACAGCAGGCTGCTCACGGGAGTGAAGCGACACGGGCAGTGGGCGAGTGAGGCAGATTCTATCTGGAGAAATGCGGCCGTGCAGGGGACCAGGAAGTGCAGTAACTGGAGAGGGAAGGGGGGCCTCCTCATCCTTTTATTTCTATTATTATTATTATTATTTTGAATTTTGATTAGGAGGGTTGGAGACTTGGTCGGCATAGGGAAGAAGCTGGCAGAAGAGGGGAAAGAGGAAAAGAGAGATTAACTGATGTGAAGAGCTTCCTGAAGACCATGAGGTGTGGGGGCCAGAGCCCAGGTGGTGACTTGTTCTAGAAGGTAGATGGGAAGCTTCCGAGGACAGAAGGCAGGCTGCGTGACAGCAGAGGTACGTGAAGGAGACAGGAGGCCTTCCCTGTAGCTCTGCCCCTCTTGGCGGGGTCGGGGGCTCTGGGGGCCCCTGCATGCCCCTGGGTCACTCTTGCTAACTGAAGCTCCTGTCTGACTCCACGCTGTGTGGCTGCGGCCTTCAGAAACTTGAGCTGGGGTCTGGGGAGGCTACCTTATTATTTTTTTTATAGAGATAATATTGGTATATAATAGTATATAAGTTTCAGATACACAGCGTTATAATTGGGGCTGCCTTTTGATGGAGGTAATGCCAGCCTCTTTTAATAAGTATCTACCAGGGTAACCTGATGGTTGAAGAAACTTTTCTGTGTTCCTTTTCAGTAACTGAAAATGACAGCGGTAGCTATGGGAAAGCCACGCTTTCCCATAATCCTGTGGAAGCACACGGAGGTCAATTCTGACCGTCCATAAACAGGGGCGCCTTTGCTGAGGATAACTACCGCCGTAACAATTATCCTCTGGGCCATTATTTGTGAGCAAATCAAACCCCAAGCAGGTGCCTTTTTAAGTTTTGTTTTGGAGAAACAGTGTCCGTCCATAAATGCCTTCACCTGCTGTAGCTGCTTGATCTCAACCAGGACACGTGTGATCTGTTTTTACGCCGTCTTAGGCCAACGTATGATTTCATTAATTTCAAATACGTCTAATCACTGCCAAGAAAGTATATCAGTAGATGGTTTTCACCCAGAACAAAAGTTTATATGAATGCTCTAAAAAGAGAGAGAGAATAGAGCAGTGAGCAGAGTTAGGGTCCGGGAGAGGATGAAGGCTGCAGGAGAAGGTTGCAGGTGGGAAGAGACAGGTGGCTTCTCTGCATCTTTGTTCCTCCCGTGGGAGACGGGGGCAGGTGGCCCCTGGATTTGAGGTTTCTTCCCACACATGGCTGGAACAAACAAGTGCCAGGTAATCGGTGTTTCCTGGTGTTTAACAGATAGGAACAAAGGGAGGGGGTGATGATGCCGTGAACGGTCAGTGGTCCCTTCCTGCATGTGCTGTAGGGACCGGCACCTTGCTAAGCACTTTAGGTGTACTGTCATGGACTCCTCAGCAGTTCCTCCAGGTAGATGGTGTCATCCTCGTTTAAAGATTACATGGTTCAGAGAGGTTAATGATTGCCCAGGGTCACACAGCCAGGGCGTGGCAGAGCCAGACCATGAACTCAGGTCTGGCAGACCCCAGGGCCTGCACTCAGCCACCGGCTTGGGATAAGGCCAGATGGCCGTGCTGTTGGAGGCAGAGGCCAAAGGTAGGTAGATACAACTGGCCCCAAGGTTAGAGACCTCAGGAAGAGTCCTCTTCCCCAGGCAGTTAAGTGGCTGTCTGTCAGGACAGCTGAACTCTGTACCCTCCTGAGCTCTGGCAGCTCTCTGTCCACTTAGACAGAAGCCCAGATTCTAAGGAGCTGTCCTCTGTTCTTTCACCCCAGGAGTGACAGACTGGGCCTGGAGTGGCATGTAATTGGGAAAAAGGCAAAGCTATGAGTTAAATTGCCCTGCCTGTAGCAAGACTTGCTTCTTAAGAGGCTCAGACCTCTCCCCCCGCTCCCCCCCCCCTGCCTTCAATAGGACCAACCTGGAGACCCCTCCCTTTGTGGGGTGTCTGTTGGGCCAGGCTGGGAGTTCTGAGTGGACAGGGAGCATCCTCCAAGATAAGGAGCAAGGACAGATGGCCTCAGAGAGCGGCAGACATTTCCCACGGGGTGTATGAAGGGACTTCACTGTATATTTTCAGAGGGGTCTACAAGGAAAAACAGCAGTGGTCTTCCAGTCCATTCATACACTAAACATTTTCCAGTCATGCTGGTTTCTGGTGCTTTGTAGAAACAGCCCACCTCCAGTAAAGTGGATGAGCTGGCGCCTATAGCTTCGCTCCGTGCCTCCACGCTGTGGGGTTAGGGACTGGATGCGAGGACAGTGGGGAAAGCAATCAGCGTCCAGCTCCAAGGACTGAAACCTCCCTGTTCTCGTTTTACACGTGAAGAAACTAAGGTTCACAAAGCTTAAGTCATTCGCCCAAAGTCACCCCATTTAGGAAGCAGCTCCGCCCGCACGTGCTGTGTTCTTAGCTCCCCGCGTCACTGACTCTTATCTGTGTGTTTACTTCCAGTTCTTCAAGGCCTTTTCCAAGAATGGTCCGGGGACAACACTGCCAGGTGGGTGCCCTGGCTCCCGTGGTCCCTCTGCCTGCCTCCCTCTTTCCCTTGGGTTTCTTCTGGGGTGAAAGCCCAGCAAGGTCTACAGAGGGCTGAGTTCCCCTAACTGAAAGCCGACTATGTTTTCCTACCTGTACTTCCCAGCCAGGTTGGAAGATGCCTTCAGGAAAACCACGCTGACAGGCCCTTCCATTTTGGCCTATCCAGGGTCCTGGGAGTGGGGAGGGTCGCCACGTTCCCAGAATAGCCCTTCATGTCACAGTGGGCTTGGCATCTGGAGGGCCGTGCCAGACAGCTCCTGGGGAGAGCCCCACAGGCCCAGGTCTGGGGGACTTTTTCCTGCCCCTTCCCCTGAGAGATTGGGTCCCCTTGCATGGAGGAGGGCCGTGAGGAGCCCCACCCCGCTCTAGTGCAGTGGACTGACCATGCCCTGTTTCTCTCAGAACCAGCGGCCCTGGGCCCTTTATTTCTGTGAATGACGCTGACAGGGGCACTGGATTCCTTCTGCTTTCCTCACGCCCCTCCCCATGTCCGTTTTTATTTACAGTGGCTGGTGCTGATGTGCAGACACTGCGGGAGAGGCTCATTGACGCACTGGAATCTCATAGTGACACGTGGCCCCCTGCCTGTCCCCCACTGGAGCCTGCCAGGTATTGGGTGCTGGGGCAGGCTTGGTGCAGTGTGGGCCGAGGTCACAGGCCTGGAGGCCAGAGGGCGGTGGGAACCCAGGTTGGTTCTTCCTGTTGCCTTTGGGGCAGACATCTCAGTGGGTCAGAGGGCTTCCTGTTCCTGGAGGGCCCACCCAGGAGCCCTGTCTTCCTGGGGCTGACAGGGGCAAGGACCTCTCCCACCAGGTAGGAAGGAAAAGGGGCGGGAGTTCTCCAGGTCATGTCTGCTGCTGCTTCTCACAGCTGTCCCCAGGAACGTTTGGAGATACAGCAGAATTTCACATGCCCTAACCCAGGGAGGGCCGCTGGGAGGAGTGGGCGTGGGGCGGAAGAGGGAGGTCAAGGACGACTTAGAGGAAAGGGGGGCGGGGCTGAGAAGAGGAAAGCCTGGCTCTGTAAAATGAGGCTGGATTCCCTGAGCCATGGCTGCGACGGGGGATGGGGCTGTGACTCTGCTCCCTGTGCTGCAGAGCATCACGCACAGTGGCTGGGGTCGGCAGGCTCCCAGGATTCCCTCTTTTCTAGGAAAATGAGGTGCTGAAAATGCACCGTGAGGGATGTAAGCAAACGAGACAGACACAGCCCTTGAGAAACGGAAGAAGGACGGAGCAGGGCACAGGCTGGCGTGCGTGTTTCCTGGGTCTGGCACCCCGAGACTACATGCTGGGCCCAGGGTCTCTGTGAGGCCCGCTGGGGGATGGAGAGTTAGGAAAAATGATGAGAGGCGTTGTGAATTGGATTCATCAGGGCAGTTTTCATCCACATGTCCCTCTCTGTGGGAGAATTAGGGCAGGACACCATGAAACATGGGGCCAGTGCTGGAGCCCAGTCCAGTGGCAGCACACACGGATATGCTAGATGGAGGGGGCGGGGCAGAGTGTACGCCTCTTTTCATCCACTGAGGGGCGCACTCTGGCCCCTACTCGAGCATGTCCGTTGTGCTGTCATGGGTCCAGGCTCCGGTACTGGCCGCATGTTGCATCTTCTGTTTAGAGGTGACCACTGCCATGTCATTGGACCCTGTAGAGGGAACTAGGTCCTCAGGTTGCGGGTAAAAGGAAGAAGCAGTCCCCTAATGCCGTCTCACCTGCTGGCCTCCTAAGCATTTGTGATGTTTTGGGTTTAATTAGAATAAGGAAACAGATCAATTTTGTATCATGCAGTTATTTTCTGTTGAGATTTTGAGCTTTGAAAACAATTGGTAGCTTAATTCTCTCGTTTGGGGGGATAATAAAATTTGCCACCTTCTTAATGTCAACCTATGCTCTGGGCCTCAGTCTCCTCATCTTAAAATAAAGAGGTTGAATCATTGGGTTGTCGGAAAAGTCATGACGCATTTTTGCAATGAAAAACAGAAAAAATATGTCATGACTTTTCCGACAGCCCAATAGATGGCTTCTAAGATCTCCCGTACCCAAGACTTGCTGATTCTTTAATTCCTTGTATATGCCTACTCCAGGAGAGGAAAAAGTAAACCTCCCAGTTGGTAATGACTTGCCACAGATCAAGGCTTGTACATGTGGTGGGTTCTGATCGCCAGCCTCTAAGGGGACCAATGAAACCCATATTCACGAAGCCTGGGCCTTACCCAGAGCACAGGGACAAATGGTGTCAGCGTGCCCCTTCCGAGTCTTCCTCCCCAGACCGCCTCTTACTCACTCCTGACTCTTAAAAGAAACAGGATGAAAAAGCCAATCAACCAGGTGGGTGAGATGAAGGGGGACCATTGGATGAGGGGGACCATCCTTGGAGACTTAGGGTGTGGTTTACACCCACTGGAGGGCAGGCAGGGGTGAATTCCATGAAGCCCCGTGTGGAAACAGAGGAGGTCTGCGTGGGTGTACTCGCAGCACAGTGTCAGCCACGTCTGGTGTCACCAGCAGTTTTACTCCCACTGACAGTGGATGGAGAGTGACTGCCAGCGTTGTCTCTTGCAGGCTGGAGGAGATTAATGGGTTCTTTGCAAGAAACGATGAAGAGTACCTGGCCCTGATCTTTGAAAAGGAAGGCTCCTACCTGGGTAGAGAGGTGAGCTGCCCTCCTGGATAGCCCTTAGCCTAGTAAGTTCGGGAGCAGGGCTGTTCTGGCACATTCCCGGGTCTCTGCCGGGTGTACTTCTGAGCCCAGCACTGGCCTGACCCCTGCTGGGAGAGTCGGGAAGTGTAGGAGCTAGACCTTCGTGTTTTAAAACCTTTGTATATTTTTTTTATTGACGTATAATTGACATACAATATTGAATTAGTTTCAGGTATACAGTAATGATTTGACGTTTGTATACATTGCTCGCCACGTAAGTCTAGTTACCATCTGTCACTGTACAAAGTTAATACACTGTTCCCGACTGTGTTGTGCATTACATGTCCTGTGTCTGGTTTTATCTCCCTCTTCGAAACCAAATAGGATAACACCTGCTGTTTATTGAGTGTTGGATTAGATTGCTGGCACGTAGAGCTGCTAATCTTCCCAATTAACAAAGATGACCATATAACATGTCCAAGATCCCACCGTCAGTGACCTCACAGAGCAGGGGTTTGAACCGGGCCTGTCTGCCTCCAGAGCCCATGTTGTTTCTACACTGGCCCCCCTCCACTCCCTCCTAGAATTGGAGTAAAAAGAAATGGGCGGGAGATAACATCAGAGAGCAACCGTTCCTCATGAGGAAGTGGGGTCTCTTGCCAGGTGAGGCAGATAACAGAACCAGGCAGGTTTGAATTCCCACTCTGTCACTTACATGTATGTCCTGATTAAGTTACCTAACTTTCTGAGCTTCATTTCCCTGCCTGTAAAATGGTGATAATTGCCTTTCTTCAGAGTACTGTCGAGAAAGTCAAATGAGGCGATTTCGGTAAACGGCCTGAATTAGTAGCTGGCACCGAGTGGGTGCTTTATAAAGACCCATTCCTGTGACCCGATGCAGAGAGCTGACCATCCCACGACTGGCTCATGGGCTTCCCCAGACCACGTGTGGGCTTTTCCCAGACGCCATGGTGGGACGGCCAGTGCGTGGGCGAAGTTCCAAGGCGGTGCAAGGGGACAGATGAGACATGAGAGTAGGGATGAAATTAAACACCACCGCTGGCTCTGAATGGGTTTCCTCCTGAAACTGCTCCAGCACAGTCGAGAGCTCTGCCCTGTCTCCAGGCCCCTCTGCCCTGAGAAGGGAAGCTCAGGGAGGTGGGGTGGGGCAGGGAGCTTTGCTGAAGGAATGCCTGCCCCTTGCGGTGTCCCAGGCCAGGCCTCGGGTCATGCCTCTCACACAGGAGTGAGGGATACGTGTTCATTGGAACCAGAGCTCTCCTCCCTGCCCCCACGCCACCCCCGAAGTCCCCTGAGTGACGAAGGACAGGGGCCCCTGTAGACTGTGTCCATACAGAGGTGCTCAGGGATGGCTAGTCTGAGAAGCAGGAGGGCACAGTGGCCGCGAGCCGAGGCCCTGCAGCCAGACTGAACTGGGGTTGACAGCCCAGCCCAGGCGCTTGCTAGCTGTGTGACCTGGACTCATGACTTCACTGCTAAGCCTCTGTTTCTTCATCTACAATAGGAGTTTGATTTTTCAAATGAGTGCATACGTGTACCTTCAATAGGTAGTCCTAGTTATGAGCCCTTTTTAAAGACTGACGCATTCAATCCTCTGAGGTTGGTATTATTATTACAATTTTGCAAGTAAGGAAAATGGGTCAGGGAGAGGGTTAGGCCGTTGGGGTCAGGATTCGAACCCGGGCAGCCTGAGGGTGCTGGGCCCCCTCCCTTGGCCTCCTAATGTTAGTTCCTGTTTCATAGTGTTATTCTGAAGATTGAATGAAGCAACCTATGTAGGATATAATACGTACTCAATAAATGTTAGCTAACATCCTTTTTCCCCTTTCTATTTCTTTCTAAAAATGAAATCCTCGTGTCTGACTCAGTATAGAAAGTCTTATCAATGAATATAAGAATAAAGGTGAACCCACATTTTATGTGTGTTTTACAAATTGCACTCATCGGAAAGAAACGCATATTAAGTCGGGGCTGTCCTGGAAGATTCATGACATGCGCTGTGCACAGTTCCACGGCCCCTCTTGGGCAGTGTTCGCCTCTTGTCACCTGGGGGGTAAGATGTGCTTGGTGGTGTGAGACTCCCGCTCATCACAATAGTGTGTTCTTTGTAAGGTTTAGAGTGGATGGAGCACAGCTGCCACCCAGGTGTCTTCCCAGGGCTCTCTCTGCCCAGTGACTGGGCCCCCACATGTCCGCTGTCTCTGCAGGTGACGCTGGATCTGTCCCAGCGCCAAGGCCTTGCAGTGCGCAGGGTCCTGAACACGGAGAGCGACGTGGTGAACGAGTTTGGTGTCACCGACTTCCCATCTTGCTACCTGCTGTTTCGGAATGGCTCTCTGTCCCGGGTTCCCGTGTGAGTGCTGTGTCTCTCTGCCCCATCTCCCCCCTCCCTGGCCTCATCCTTTATTCCTGCTTCGGGAGGCTGCCAGCCTTTCACAGGGGCTGACGGGTTCTTGCTCCCGCAGTTCCCCTGAGGAGTCCACGGGCAGGCGAGCAGCACCCTCTGCAGATGTGTGCCTGTTGGGTGTGGGACAGTGTCTCTGCAGCCAGGAGCCAGGAGTCGGGGCGGAGAACGCCGTCCCCAGCCCCAGCCCGGCTCAGGAGTCCTGCCTCAGGCCCCTGGCGCACCCAGCGTTGGCGCGTCTGCTCCGTCCCCACCGCAGCCCTGGCCCTGTTCCCAGGCTGCCTGTGCTTGCAGACCGGTTGGCAGGCTGTAGGCCTGGCATGTACTCGCGTGCCTGACCCTCCCTGTCTTTGGTTTTCTAATTGCAGAAAAGTTCATTAGAAGCCAGACAATAGCCATTTCCAAAATGCCAAGAGAAAACAATCAGGCCAGCCGCAGCCCCTCTGTCAGGCTCCTACTGCTGAATGGCCTGTTAAATGGCGCCAGATGGTGCCTCGATGCCCTCCCCGGGCAGATGATTGATGTCAGCCTGGCCCTGCAAGCAGGACAGGGAGACGAAGGCTTGCCTGCCATGCCCAGGGCCATCAGTGCCATCCTGCAGTGAGGCTGGGCAGGGCCACCACCTGCCCTCACCGGCCGGATCACCAGGCAGCGCTGGGCCTTGTCAGAGGGTTCTGATAGCGATGGCCGCAGCGGGGCAGGATGGACTCACTTTCTGCGCAGGCCCACAAAGTGCCAGTCCTGGTGGGGAGAGGCGGCATTGTTTTTCCTCACTTGGAGTTGGTGGAGGGGAAAATTATTTGTGACGATGCTGCTTCTGAGCCATCTGCTCATCGATAAACATCAGGCCAGCACAGCCGAGTGGAAAGCGGTGCTTCCCAGTGCCAGTTCCCCTGGGGGTGCCATCACACTCCTGCTGGTCCTCACATCCCACCCTCCCCAGGGCCCTGACCAGGAGACGCCTCCCGCTGTTGAGGACTCCTCTCTATCAGAGGAGAGGAAGAAACCAAAAGGATTATAAAGTGATTTGAGAATTTTAGTGTTTTTTTTAATTGTTGTTGTAGTTTTTAAAAAATCACTTATCAAACTCCCTTGATTTCCTTGGGTACTAATGTCCCCTCTGGTAGCTCAGAGCAAGCTTGTGAGCGGGCAGCTTCCTTGAGGTGAGCTGCCACTGTGTAGCTTTGGTCTCTGGGGAAGGTAGTCAGACCCAGCCATCCGGTCCATGGGCAGAACTAGCACTGTCCCCAGAGACGCTCTGTCCCACAGCCTCTCCGGGGCAGGTTAGCTGCTTTTCCAGATGGGATTTTCACATCAAATTGGTATCACGGAGCCTTGCCACAGCATGAGCAGTGACTAGAAAGATTAAAGTAAGGCAGGAGGGCCCCAATTTTGACCTCATGAGGATAAGATGGAACCAAGTTGAAATGTTTCTCAGTAAACACTTCTGTCAGATGAGCCGCCGCCTCCTCTCCTGACACGAGTTAGTTCTGCGGTTTTGTTTTCTCCGTACTCACTGCCGCTCCCCTGTGGCTGTCTTCCCTCACAGGCTTGTGGAATCCAGGTCCTTCTACACCGCTTACCTGCAGAGGCTCGCCGGGGCCACCCGGGAGTCTGCCCGCACCACAGTCGCACCAACCACTGCTAATACGATAGCTCCCACCGTGTGGAAAGTTGCCGATCGGTAAGGCCATACCAGTTTGCCTCACCCCTTCCCCACCCCAGCCTTTCCTCTGTTCACAGATGCCAACCTTCATACCACTCTGTTCCTTGTCATGGGCTTAGCATGTGCCCTCCTGAGCCCAGACCCCCTGAGGGCTGGCCTTGGCCTTTGGGGCCCCGACTGGCTGCCAGCAGTGCTTGGGAGGGTCTAGATGTGTGGCCAGTAGCTGCAGCCGACTGGCAGCCTCCCCAGTGTCCACTGACTGGGGGATGCCACACAGCATTTACTTGTATCCTTCGTGATGGAATGAACGCTTTCCAGAAGTGCCCACGTTCCCGAAGCTTAACTCTGTTCATAAACAAGTCGAATCAACTTGGGAAAGATAATCTGTGGCCTCCAAACCAGCTTCCCACCCAAGCATTGATTTCTTCAGCAAATAGTTTTGTGTGCCAGCTACGTGCTAGGCACTGTAAATACAGATTATACAGGGCGGATGGAGTCCCTGCCCACACAGAGCTTGCGATCCCCTCATAGCGTCCCTTCTGGGAAGGTTCCCGACCTCACGTGACCATGTCTGGTGTCAGGGGGCTCCCTGCTTTTTGAGGTAGCCTGTGCCTTTGTGCACTGTTGTAAGCATGAGAAAGCTACTCTTCTCTGAAGCTCCGAGGCTCTGCCCTTGTAGAATTCCTACTTTTCGGGGCCGGGAGACAAGGTCGTAACCCCCTCTGTGCTGGCACCCAGCGGCATACCAAGTGGAAATAGCTGACCAGGGAGCTCAGAGCTGCATCAAGAAGGCAGCCTCTAGAGGGGGCTGCACAAGAGAATTGGGGGAAAGGTCATGTGATTTCCAGAAGGAATTTACACCCCAGCATGAGGGACTTTAAGGGTAGAAAGTGATAATGGAGAGATTTTTTTTTTAAGATTTTATTGGTGAATCAGGGAAGGGGATCAGACAAGTTGCTGTCCTTTTGTTCTTCAGTCTAGTTGTGGAGGACGTCGCTTCACTGGCCCATGTTGGTATTATCATTGCGCTCTTCCCGGGTGAGGCAGATCGGTCGCTGGCTATTGGACGGTTGCTCATGCCGGCTGCTGGCCGCTTAACGCTGGCTGCTGGCCACTCACATAACTCACGGCAGCCCACTGCAGCCTACGCCGTCGCTGGCAACTCACGGCAGCCCAGCTCCAGGTCGAGCTGTTGTTCACCATCTTAGCTGTAGAGGGCAGCGTCACTGGCCCTCATGTGGGATCCGAACCCAGGGCCCTGCTGCTCAGAGCCGGCGTCCCAAGCCAACTCTTAACCAGTGTGCCACTCGGCTGGCCCAATGGAGAGAGTTTTAATAAATCAGGGGAGAAGGAAAGAAACTGAGAGGTAGAAGTGGTCATTATGATCATTCAAATTACTGTAATAACTGACACTCAGTGGCCTTATGTGCCAAGCTCTGTGCTGGGTGCCTTCCATATATTATCTCTGGCATAAGGCCACTCCTTCAGTCAGAACACAAGAGTGGAGAGGTAAACTGAGGCCCAGGGATACCACGGTGGAGCAGAGGGAGGACGTTGCCAGGTGGTCACAGAGCCCACCCCTTTAGCTGACCTCCTGGCTCACCACAACCTTAGGAGGTAGGTAGGGCAGGAGTCATCAGTTTATTTTATGGGGGATGTCCCTGAGGCTCAGAGAGGTAGATTGGGTTGGCCCAGCTCCCAGCACTAGCTCCCTGTAGAACTGAGGCCAGAACCAGGCCTCAGGAGGCGGCTGCAGAAGCAGCCAGAACCTGAGGGGCCCTCCCGTGAGAACCCAGAGCCCAGGCCCCAAGTGAGCACCCGGGAAGGGGATAGAACAGTCAGCCTGGAGCCGGCAACTGTTCCTCCGGGGCTCGGTCAGCCCAGGAGATGTGTGTTGGAGCCCCACCCGACACCTGAGGTCTGGCAGCCTTGAGGACATCCGCCCGCAAATAAACACTCACACTGCTTTCCTTCCTGCCCAGCCCCGCTATGCCCAGTTCAGAGAGCGCCAAAGCCTTGGTCTTTCCAGAGCCATGTAGTGTGGGCACACTTGTTGGTCTGTTTGTCCATAGGGGTCTTTGGTCAGAACAGAGAATTGAGCTCAACCTTCCACTAGCAGCCTGATTAAAACACCCTTAGTGAGTTACGGGAGGGGCTGGCTCTGGGCCTGCAGAGGGGAACCCCTACTCTATGCCAGGAGCTGATGAGGGGTGTACATTTGTACTTTTATTTAATCTTCTCAGCCGCTTACCTGTGAGTAATTTATTATTATGCCCATCTTACAGATGAGGAACTGAGGCTCAGAGAAGTTAAGTAATATACCCAAGGTCACACAGCTAGTTACAGAGCCACGTGCCAACTCAGAGGACTCTGGGCCCATCGGCAGTGGCCCTCCTCTCCTCCCCCTTCAGCCCTGGGCTCTCCTCCTCAGCCCCGTCCTGTGGTTAATCCCCTTTCTTTCTCTGCTTTTCTCTGGCTCCTCAGCTCCAAGATCTACATGGCTGACCTGGAATCCGCACTACACTACATCCTCCGGGTAGAAGTGGGCAAGTTTTCTGTCCTGGAGGGGCAGCGCCTGGTGGCCCTGAAAAAGTTTATGGCAGTGCTGGCTCAGGTGAGCAGGACCATGGCCTCCATTGTCCATGCAGCTCCGGAGGGTCAGTGCACATCTGGGCTTGCAGGAGTCAGCCCAGGCCCTCCCTCAGTAGCTCGTGGTCTGGCTGGACATCCGGCCCCACAGCTGTCCCAGGCCACCCTGGGCTGCTTCCTTGCAGCCTCAGCCATGCCTGGGACAGCGCTTTGTGGGGCGTGGGTGGGACAGGGCCAGATGCCCTGGGGATATTCCCAGCTGATCAGTGACTGTGGCTCTGCCTGCCGGAGTCCTCCATCTCAGAGTGATGGGAAAGCAGGACCTATACACACGACAGTGAAGGAAAGAAGGCTTTTCGGCATCTCCTCTCTTCCCTCCTGGACACTGAGCAGAGTTTGACCCAGGTCCCCGGCCCTGGCCAGGCCTTCCTCGTGCCTTTGTAGTTTCCTGCCCACGTGACACACCTGGGGTGTGTCAGGCACTTAGTCCTCCTAACTTTGCTGCAGGATGGCGAGTATTACCCCCATTTAAGAGGCCAGGATGCCCCAGGGCCGTGGCTTAGGCCTCTGACCTCCCACGTGGGAGGTGGTGTGATGGAGAGTTGAACTGAGGTCTCAGAGCCCTGAGTCTGGGCCCCTTGCCCTGCCACAGGCTCGTTCCTCACGTCTGGAGGTGAGACGGGGGCTGCCTCTTCCCTCTGCAGCTGCCTCCTGCCCCTCCCCGCATCCTGCTCTCTGATTCTAGATCTGCTGCCCTACTTAAACCCCTCAGCGCTGGCTGCTGAGGGTGCTGAGTCAGGTCCGGGCTCTGGTCCCTGCTGGGCCTCACTGCTGACTCAGCCACCCACAGCCTTGGGTGCCAGGTCTGAGCTTCCGGGAGCAGGTCTGTGGGCAGCTGGGGCTACCTCTGGGGGTGACCTGCACCTCTGCCCCGGGAGCTGCCTGCCAGCCTAGTCCCTCTGCCCCACCTCACCAGCCTGGCCTTCTGGCCCACTTGGCTGAGTCAGGTGCGTGTGTGATTACACTGAGAGGACCCTGTGAGCTGTCACAGAGTGCTGGTACCCTCTAAGGCAAGACAGTATTCCGCCTCTCCCGGAGAGGTCCGATCAGACCGAGTCCCTGTTCTGCCCTTTCTGATGATAGAGACCTTTCCCCCGAGGCCCTGTGAGCCGCTCGGTCCCCATGTCGCGAGGCCTGGGGTGGCTGGCCCAGAGAATAGGAGGAGAAAGTCATTGAGCAGTTCTGTGTTCTGTCCTCCTGCTGACACATGCCTGACACCCAGCGTGCCTTCCAGGCGTCCCTCAGAAGGAGACGAGAGGGACATTCCGCCTCCCGGGGAAATTGTGTGTTAGCCGCTTGCATCTCTCAGCCAGACTCAGAGCCGCTTTTGGTTTGGTCCCCAGTGGGAGGGTTTCCAGCCAGTGTGAGGGGAAGAGTTAGACCCAGGAGATGGTTGACCTGGCAGAGACGTAAGCAGCACCCGCGGGGTGGTGCCCGCTGAGCTCCCACCCTCAGGTGCTGGAAGTGAGTTTGGCGAGAACGAGCCCTTTGTGCCAGAAACAAGGCCCCTTGGAGAGGCCAGGGCCGGCCTCGGGGCAGAGGACACAAGGAAGCCAGGCAGACACAAGACCAGGAGCGGCGGGCACGGCTCGGAGGGCCTGCTCGAGCCTTGCCTGGTCCGCTGGAGACTGCGGGGTATCTTGGCGCTACCTTTGTTTCGGTAGCTTCTTTCTAGGTAGGAGTAATAGCAGCCACCATTTCTTGGGCTCTGACAGGGTGCCAGACTCTGCAAACTGCTCTTTGTGTACTAGCTTATTTGTATTTCTCATGACAAACTCCGCAGGGTGGGTAGAGCAGTATCCCGTCCACAGAGAGGCAGTGAAGGCCCAGGGGTGTCAAGCACCTTGTTCCAGGCCCTCCAGCCGGCGGGCGGGCTGAGCTGACCCTTGCTCCCACATCTGTTCTGTTCTAACCCACGTCCTCACCCACTGCGCGCATGGATCACGGAGAGCCTGAAGGGTGATGGTGTTCCGTCTGCCTCTCTGCCCTGAGGAACTGTCAGCCCTGGTGTGCCCCTTGGGGAGGCGCTCTGCATGTCCTGCGGGCGATCTCCCGTCCCTACCCTTTTTACCCGGCCGTACCCATCCCTACCAGTCCCCACCCTCTCTCTCTTGCTCCCTCACACGAGTGGCTGGCAGGACTGGCCACTGGGTGGCGTGTGGTCACCAGGGTTTCCCTGCTCCTGCAGAGAGGGTGACTCCCTGTAGGCCAGAGCCCCTTAACTCATCCTTCTGACACCAAGGCCTCAGCAGACGGGAGGTTCCAAGTCCGGATGACGGCCAAAGGTCAGTGAGAAATGCTGACTGGAAGCTGTAAATCTGTGTTGAGGTTCTGGAGGCCTGTGTGAGCTGACCAAGAGGTAGCGTGTCAAAGCCCAGGATTCTTTCCGGCCACTTCTCCCTCCCCGGGGGACGGCGTCCAGCCCAGGACGTTTGATAAGATTAGGTAATGGCTTTCGCAGAGGACTGGATCGTTGGCAGGTTTTTCTGTTTAGTGATCATTCCCGTCTCCAGAGCCCTTCTGTCAAATGGTTTTCTTTGCTGTGTTTCTTCCACACGTTTCTCAGTGTTGTCCTCTCGACCAGCTCTGCTGCTGCCTCTCTCTTCTGCCCTGGGCCCCTGGTGGTGTGTTTGCACACGCATTCATGCACACACACATATATCTGCCTTCCTCCTGGGAGTCCTTGTGGTTTTAAAGTGCTGATACTAATCAGATTTGAGCTGACTTATTGTCAGAGTAGCTTTTCATGTTCCTCAGAGACCACTGGGAGTTACCATCAAGATTGGGATCTTGGCTGGAAGCCCCCGGGCCGCCTTGTCCCCACTGGCAGCCGGTGGAATACAAATGAAAGGCTGTTTGCCAGCCTAGCCCAGCCGGTCAGTTAGTCAGCAAGTCAGCTTCTCTGTCAAAAGGTCAGCTGGAGAGAGTAGTGTGTGGCCCAGGGTTCCCAGCATCTCTGGGAAGCGACCAGGTGCTCAGCCCTGTCCTCCCCGGAGCCCGAGGCCTTCAGAGCCCGGCTTCACTTATCACCTCTCTCCCCTCCACTCCACTCCCCTCCCCAGAGCCAAGACAGTGAGGACCCCACATGTGTGTCAGGTGGAAGGCGTTCCTGCCTTGGCCCCCTGCCTGCCCAGCCCCTTCCCATCCCCGGGGCTGGGGGCCTCTGGGGGGTTTGTTTCTCAGTCTCCAACTTGAACTTGTTCCTCCCATAGTACTTCCCTGGCCAGCCCTTAGTCCAGAACTTCCTACACTCAATGAACGACTGGCTCAAGAGGCAGCAGAGAAAGAAAATACCCTACGGCTTCTTTCAAACTGCCCTGGAAAGCAGGAATGAGGTGAGTTGGGCACCCCATCTCGGTGACTGTGGGAACGGAGGGGTCACCGCTGGCCTCTGACTGACCAGGATGGTTAGGTCCTTCCATTAATAACAAATACATCACTATTTATGAGCTCTCTACATGCATATCTCATTTAATACTCTCCGCCCCACACTAGTGCCGGGTGGATATTATCCCCATTTCGCAGATGAAGAAACTGAGTTTAAGGAACTTGTCTAAGCCAGTAAGTGGTTGGGCTGGGAAGTAAAGCCGATTGTGAGACACCAGTTGTGAGAGGATTTTTCACTACTGCTCTCTGTTGCCTCCGAGTGTACCACGCTGCTCAGCGTGGCTTCTCTGGCCCTCTCCAGGGGCGCCTGTCGGCTCCTGCTCTCCCCGCTGTTGAGGTGGCCGCTGCAGCCAGCAGAGCCGCAAAGCCGTATGGACATGGATGTCAGAGCTGGAAGGAACCTCAGGGATCGGCCCCTCTTTTACAGATGGCGAAGTTGAGGCTAGAGTAGGGACAGGTCTGATGCTGTGGTGGGTGTAGCCAGAGGAAGGGCAATGCCCCCTTCGAAGTGCTAGCCTGAGAGAGGGATCTCACTAGTCTCAGGCTGTGTGCGGACCTTTGAGTCTCCTGGAAGTGCCTCACCTGCCTCCCATCCTTGATCTTCTCCACATGTGCGCTCATGTTCACCTGTGTCCCTTAGGGCGCTGTGATTGCCAAGAAGGTGAACTGGGTCGGCTGCCAGGGGAGCGAGCCGCACTTCCGGGGCTTCCCCTGCTCCCTGTGGGTCCTCTTCCACTTCCTGACCGTGCAGGCAGCTCGGCAGAATGCAGACCACGCACAGGAAGCAGGTGAGTCGGGGCCTGTGCGCCTGGGGCCTCAGCCCAGCCCGTCCCGTCTCCGCTGTCTCCCTGCTGCAGGCTCTCTTTAGGGGATTCTGAGTTTGCAGCTAGCCACCCACGACCAGCATTATCCAGAATGGGGAGGACCTGGACAAGCCACCCAGTCCTGCACCCCACCCCAGGCTGGTGCCCCACAAACTCGGGGGTGTGAGTCTTCTCCCAGGCTTTCTTGGAGCCACAAGCTTGCTTTGTTTGCAGTCCTCGTGAAAAATGTGTGGTTTCATTTTCTGTACTCCTATAAAGAAAAGAACTGTGTCTGTTTCACAGTTTACATGGCCGGTCCCATGTACTTTGAGCAATTTTATTGTTTCCCACTGAAAAACCATTTTCTAGGGGAAGCTGGGGAAACACCTCGCCCCTCCTGCCCGGTCCCCTCGCCAGACTGTGCAGCTGCTCGCTCTCCACCACCCACACCGCCTCACCTTCGCTTAACGACCGAAAGGGTGGGCAGCCAGTTCAGCTCACGTTTACTGAGGGACCAAGGTTATATCAGGCCCTGGCCCAGCCTGCAGGGGACAGAGGCGGAACAGAGACAGTCCCTGCTCTCGTGGTTGGGAGACGGGTGCAGGGCTGCATGCAGTGCCCCAGGGCCCAGAGCCAAGGGGGAGAGAAGGGTGTCCGGTAAAGGACAGGGAATGTGCCACGCTGTCGGGAAGGGCAGGAGGACGTGTGCTGGGTCAGCCTAAAAATAAAAGGCCAAAGGGAGAGACCACAAGCGTTCATTTCAGATGAAGGGAAAAAAAGGATAGCTGTTGGGGAAGCACTGATTCAGGCAGAAACCCAAATAGTGTTCTACTTAGGAGACAAAGGCAAAGGGAATTTATAAGGAAGGGAAGGGGAGCGGACACCAATAGAAGGAAGGCATTTCTACTGGTCCAGATGCGCTAACATAGTGCCGTTAATTCTAAACGATGGTTTTAATTTTCAGTCTGGTAGCCATCGGTCCAGGAGTCATAGTCCCTGCTGTTTTGTCAGCATTGCATAGTTCTTTGGGACATAATGTTGCTCTAGGCCTAGTTCAAAGGTGATTTTGCCCTATTTTATCATCCCAGAGGTTTGAGGCATAAGACTTGCAAGGCAGGTTCGGTCCTCTGGGATGGCAGCTCCGACTCCATTTTAAAGTGGCTCCGTTTCTGTTAGTTTTTACAGTTGAGAGTGGTTGGAAGAACAGGAGTTGAGCCAGGAAGGAAGAGCGTCCCATCCCTGACAGAGGGAAGGCCCCCAGAGGCAGCGGCAGAGGGAATTAGGGGAGCTGCTGGGTGTGGGGACAGCCCGCCAGTCACTGTGTCCAGTCAGCCAGTATTTATGAGCATCTCCAAAGTGCCAGGCCCGGCTCGGGGGGCGGGGGACAGTACAGTGGGATGAGACGAGAAATCCCTGCCTCAAGGGGACAATATTTCAGTGGCAGGAGACGGACAGTAAACACACAAGGAGATCGTTTCAGTTATGATGATGCATGCTGTGGAGAAGACGGAGCAAAGTGGGGTGTGAGAGGCCTGGGGGCGGCGCTGTGTTTAGACGGGGGCTGGGAGGCTTCTCTGAGGTGGTGATCTCTGACCTGGATGGGGAGAGGGGAGACGTCTGGGAAGACAGCCTTCCGGGCTGAACTGGTTTGCTAGGTCTGCCATGACCAAGAGCCACTGGGGGGGCCTAAACCCTAAACAACAGGCTTTTATTTTCTCACCGCCTGGAGCCTGAAAGTACAAGATGAAGGTGTTGGCAGGGTGGGCTTCTGCTGCGGCCCCTCTTTGGTTTAGAGATGACCTTCTCCCTGTGCCATCATGTGGTCTTCCCTGTGAGCAAGCTCCCTCTTCTTACCAGGACACCAGTCAGATTGGATAAGGACACACCCTGATGACCTCGTTTTAACAAATCGCCTCTTTAAAGACCCTGTGTCCAAGCACAGTCACATCCTGAGGTCCTGGGGCTTAGGACTTCAACCTGAAATTTAGTATGAATCTTAGAGGACACATTTCAGCCCATAGCACAGGCCAAGGACGAGCAGGCGCAGGTGTGACGTGTGTGTGGCCCCGAAAGGAGGCCCACATGGCAGACCCTGGGAGGCGGGAGGCGGGAGAGGGGGCGGGCGAGGGGTTTAGATTTCTGTCCCAGCATTCGGAGATTCCACTGGAGGGTTGAAGCAGGGACACGATGCAAACGATGACTGCTTTAGAAAGATTACGGGCTGGAGGGTGGAGGCAGGGCCACCCGTTGGGAAGCTGTGGAGCTATTGTAGTTAGTCCAGCAGAGGCAGTGGAGCCCGGACTAGAGCTGGAGGTCTGCACGTGGGAGAAGTGGTTGGATTTGGGAGGTATTTTGAAGGTAGAGCTGACAGCACTTGGCAATGGAATGGATGAAGAGCTTGCAGGATCGAGGCTCTGGGTGGACCCCGGAGTTGTTGGGCCTGAGCACCTGGTGATGGAGAGGTAGACACTTGAATCCGGAGTTCTGGGGAGAGGTCCAGGGTAGAGATACACATCCTGTGGTCATTAGCCGGAGATGACAGCTACAACCCTGGCACTGATGGGCCCGTTAGTGGGTGGGCAGGGAAGGGCGCTGAGGCCTGAGCCCTGGGCTCTGCAGCATCTGGACCCTTGCTGGAGGAGCCGGGCCAGCCAAGGAGACTCAAAAGGAGCAGCCATTGCGATCTCAAGAGGCCCCCCTCCAAATAGAGCGTTTCAAGGAGGAGGACGTAGCTGGCCGAGTGGGTGCCGCCGTGCTGCTGGAGCTGGGGACCTCTCTGGCAAGAGCTGTGTCGGTGGATTAGTGGTGAGAAAGGCCTGCTTGGATTGGGCTGAAGAGAGACGAGCAGGGAAGAACCTGGAGCCAATGGGGACGTCGCTGGGGTGTAACGGGGGTCAGAGAAGGGAACTCGTTATTGTAGTTGTTTTTACTAGTCAGAATGATCCCATATTAAGGGAGAAATTGATGGTGTAATAACAAAATATTTACAGGGGTAAAATCTTGGAGGGGGCAAGAAAGGGAGAGGTGCAGAGCACGAGGGCAGGCCAAGGAGGCAGGTGGTGGGCGGGTGGGCGACGGCTGGATGCAGGAACTGGTGCTGCTGAGGGGGCTGGGACGTGAGCGGCAAGGCACGGGCGGTGTGGGTGCTAAGATGGCCAGGAACGGTGGCCTGGGTGTGGTGGTCAGCGGGACAGAGCAGGCTGCTGATGTCCTAGGGGACGGAGGGGTGAGATCAGGGGATCGGCTTTTAAAGGGCTGGAGGTTTTGCAGCAGGAAGAGAGTTTGGAGGCAACGACACAAGGATACTTCCACTGCCTCCAGCCCTGCGGTGTATGGAGTGTGTGAGAGGAAAGGGTTTGAGAGGGGCCTGGGAGGCAGTGTCTTCAGGGAGGAACCCCACGTCAGGCAGAGCGGGAAGGTTGGGGGAGTACTCAGAGGTCAGTGCTGACCAGTCCAGGGGGACTGGTGGGAGGGGATGGGGGGGGAGATGGAACAAATTAGAGGATGTGCAGGGCACATCAGGACGGACTCCTGCTGCAGTGCCCGAGGGAGGAGGCATGGTGGGGAGCACGTTGGAACAGGAAGTCTAAAGACGGGGCAGCGCAGGGGTGGGGGGTGGGCACTTGGGCCCCTGCCTCCCTCTCCAGCCACTTCTCAAGGAGGCTGAGTGTCCCGCTGACAAGTTTGGACTTTATCCTGAGTGTCAGTAAGTGACAAGGGCCTGAATGAGTGGCAAAGAAGGGAAATTGGGGTTTAGGAGTTTGGGAGGAGATAAGTCACCTCTAAAGTGACACCTGGAAGGTGGAGAAGTAGGCAGGGAGAGCCTGGACCCCTCATCGGATGGGCTGGAGTGTGGGGTGCATGGTGGAGGTGACCATGGCGGGCCTGTGGAGGGAAGGGTGGTGGGACCAGCAGGGGTAGGCGGTGTGAGGGACCCCTGTGAACGGTGCCTCCTCTCCCCCGTAGCCAAGGCTCAGGAAGTCCTCCAGGCCATCCGGGGCTACATTCGCTACTTCTTCGGCTGCCAAGACTGTGCTGACCACTTTGAGCAGATGGCTGCTGCCTCCATGCACCGGGTGGGGAGTCTGGACAGCGCTGTTCTCTGGCTCTGGTCCAGCCACAACAAGGTCAATACTCGCCTCGCAGGTAAGGAAGGGCCACCGCCAAGGCTGGAGTCATCTACAGAGGGAGGGTGAGGTGGGGAACTTCGGAATCTTGGACCAGAGGTAGGAGACAGGACACTCGTTGTCCCCCGGGTAACACCCTGTGCATCACAGCGTTTCACAGCACACAGAGCCATTTCACATGTTCTGCCAGCCCTGCTGATATATGGCAATATCATTAGACCCATTTTCCAGATGAGGAAACCGAGGCTTTGACACTTGAAGACCCTGGTCTTCCAGTGCCCTTGCTCTCTCTTTCCCCTGCACCAGGGCCCCTCCCTCTGGCCTGTTGGGGCCCCTCTCCTGCCTCCCCTGTTCTGCCTTCTGGCTCTTGGCCCCTTACTCAAACCAACAGGGAGGAGGCAGCTGGGCTTCTCCACCCCCTGGGAGGGGTCTCATCATAAAATGTGCTGGGAAAGAAATCCCAGGGACTGATCCCCCAGGGGGAGGCCTCGTTTTCTGAGTTCCCCTCATTGACGGTGTTCCTTCCGCACAGGAGCCTGATGGGTCCAACAGGCAAAAGCAGGGGCCACCCGCGCTGGGGGGTTGGGAGGGAGCCATCTGTGGACAAGGGCCTGGGCTTGTCTGTGGGGAGAGGGGGGTGCGCGTGGCTTGGATAGACCTCCCAGGGGTGGGAGGCGGGGATGAGGCCCGGGGCGGGCGAGGTTAAAGGAGCTGGACGGAGCAGGTGGTGTGGGCGGCTGCACTTGGTGGGTCTCCTGGGGCCTCTTGGTGGACTTTGAAAAGAAGGCACGTGCCCGTCTCTCCTCCCACCTCTTCCCTCCCTCCCCCACTCCTGCCACCAAATGCTCCATTTGACCCTCTAGCCCTATGACCTCGGGCTCCCAGCTTTCCTCCAGGCCCAGCTGCCGCCACCCTCCCAGGGACCTTAAGGAAGGCGGTACCCTATCCCCTCTGGGGGGGCCCTTTCAGATCAAACCAATCACAGTAATGAGCAGGTACAAACCGAGTGCTCGCATCGCAAGGCCCACTCACTGTTCCTTCTCACTGGACCCTTGGAATCTACTTGTTGACCCCTCTCCAAAATGACCATTCTGACTTCTACATCACTTGCTGCTTTATTCTGGCCAGCAACTGTTTTTCCCATTAAACCCGTTAGGAGTTTAAGAGAGAGATGGACTGATTTGCATTCTCTGGCTACACTGGCTGGTAGCCTACAGGCCCCCTGGGGTTCAGCCAGGGCTCTGCCCACAGTGCCACCCCGCTTGGGGCCCCAGCAACCTGGTGGTCAGGGCAACTTCATGACTTCTGAGTGTCCTTGTCCCCTGCCCAGGCCCCCAGCCACCCCACAACCACCCTTTGGAGCCCACGTGAATGGGAAATTCCACTAACTCCCACCTACCCCAGAGGGCTGCAGTGGAATTACCTGTGGAATGACCATGTGCCACAAACTCTTATTTTAAAGAACATTTTTCCTTTAATTATAAAAGTAATATATCTCCACTGTATAAAACTTGTAAAATTTTTTAAAAATGCAAAGAAGATAAATAACTAGCAGACCAACCAAAGACTGCAAGACCGATCTTTGTGAGCCTTCTCACCCTTCCTCACATCTGCTCCAGGGGCGCACGCTGGCCGTGAAGTTGACAAAGGGAGATGTGGGTTATGATGAGGAAGTGTCTGGAGGGGAGCTGTCCTCACTCCCTTGGGAAACTGGAGTGCTCACCCAGAGAGGCACCGCTGTTGGGCGCGCTGCAGGCCACGTCCTGTGCTAGCTAGAGTTTTGTCTGCCTTCCCTCGTGCTTCTCTCCTTTCCAAAGGCCGTGGTGAGCCCCTTTTGCAGATGAGGATGCTGGCGTTGTGCCTGGCAGAACGAGGCCTGGGCGGGCCCAGTGTGTCACCGCTAACCCGCGTGTGCTTCTCTCCCCAGGTGCCCCCAGCGAGGACCCCCAGTTCCCCAAGGTGCAGTGGCCGCCCCGTGAGCTCTGTTCCGCCTGCCACAATGAACTCCGGGGGACGCCAGTGTGGGACCTGGGCAACATCCTCAGCTTCTTCAAGACCCACTTCTCGCGGAGCAATGTGGTCGTGGACCGTCCTTCACGTGGGCCGGGCCCGCGGAGGGGCGCGCAGAGGATGGCTGCCACACGGCAGCCGGAGCTGGAGACCGGAAATTCTACGCTGGGCCCTGACAAGGCTGAGCTCATGGTGGGTCCAGAGACAAAGTCCCCCGGGAAGATCGTCCTGGATGCTGTAGCGGAGAGACTCGAGGACAGCATCCTGCAGGAGATGCAGGCTGGCCCCAGTCTGACCGGAGCTGAGCTAGACCAGGGATCTCTCGAGCACATAGCAGAGCTTCAGAGGGATCAGCTGGAGCAGCCGAAAGGGCAGCGACCCTTGACCAAGCGCGACACAGGAGCCGCTGGATTCCTGGCTGAGTTCCTGGCTGAGAAGAGCTTCCCCAGAGGCCCTTCAGAGCTGAGACGAGTGGGCCGCAGCTCCAAGCAGCTGGTTGGTGTCCCCGAGGGGGAGCCAGAGGCTGGGGCCCTGCAGGGCCGAGGCCAGTGGCTGCAGGTGCTGGAAGGGGACTTCTCCCACCTGGACATCAGCCTCTGTGTGGTGCTGTACTCCCTGTCCTTTATGGGCCTGCTGGCCGTGTACACCTTCTTCCGGGCCAGGATGAGGGCCCTGAAGGGCCATGCTAGCCACCCCGCAGCCTAAACCGGCCACCTTGGGAGAACAGCAGGAAAGGCAGCTGTTATCCTTGGCGCCCTTCCAGCCCCCTGCCCCCTCCGCTCCTCCCTCACTCCTTGTCCAGGGTAATCCAGGAAAACCAGCTGCTCCAGGGAACCTCCTTGGGCCTTCTGGAAGGAGTGTTCCACAGATACGAAGATGTGCACAGGGCCCAGGTTCATCTGACCACACGGGAAGGAAAGCCTTGGGCAGAGAGGGTGGGAGGCCCAGCCTCTGACCTCTCAGCGCCAAATCCCTCTTTTTCAGCTTATTTGAAGCCCTGCCTCACTTTTGCTGAAGCTGCCGTGTCTCCTGCTTGGTCTTGGCCCTAAATTAGGACAAGTGAGCCTCAGTTTCCAAGGCTCCCATCCAGAGGAGGGGTCCCCAGGCTGAGTGGGCTGGAGTGGAACCCCTCACTACATTCCAGGGCTCCGTCCATCCCGCTCCCTTCTGGATATGAAGAGGCCGTCACACCAGAGAAGGAAGGACTGCCTCTGGCCCTCGGTGGCCTGCTTATCCTCCAGCGCCCCAGACCTCCTGCGTGGGGTTTGGCTTTAGGGTAGAGTCTGGAAGCTTCTGGAAGTCATGCTGGCCTCCCAGGTGAGGTTTGCGGGAGGAGAGCCTCTGGGTGGCTCCTTCCCAAACCTCTGCTACAGGAAGTGCACAGGTTGGGATTGGTGCAGGTGTGCCCAGCCAGGTGGGTGATGGTCACTGGGCTGGGGGGTGAGTGGCTGGCTCTGCAGGACCTGATGTGGGGGTAGTGTGGGATTTAGGAGGGCTGTTGGGATCTATAGTGCCTTGCTCTGGGCTTAGCTGTGAGAGGTAGAGTGAAGACTCAGGAAAAATAGGGTTGCTTCAAATATGCTTTGGCTCTTCCCCCTTGGGCTCAGCACTCTCGGAGCTGGGTCTTTGTCTTTTGATTTTTGTCTCCAAGGTAGATGCTAATCTTTGAACGTGGGGGGTGCTGGAGCGATGGGAGGGTCGTCTCTTCCGAGGGCCCACCTCCTGTCATATAGAGGTGAAAGGGTTGGAGGGTTGATGCTGTACACATGCTTGATTTTCACTCTGCCCACTGCTTGGGAGGGCTATGGAATAAATTATTTTTGTTAAGGCAAGCACCCGCGTGTCCTTTCCCTGGCTACTGGAGACCTAGCGTTCAGGTCTGGACAGAATGTGCAAAGTCCCGCCTTACCTGGGCTCCAGCCAGATGTGGTTTCCTCTGGCTCAGTGACCAGGTGCCCTGGGTGGGGCTCCCACTGCCCACAGAGCTCCCCAGGCCGTGGCCCCATCAGTCTGCATGAGACCAGGACAGGCCTTTGTGGAGGTGCAGTCCCACCTCCTCCTCCTCCACCAGCCCAGGGAACACCTGCCGGTGCTCTCAGTTCTGCTGGAGGTGCCTCCTCCTGCACCTGCCTGGCCCTCCGCGCCAGGTGGCTTGCGCCTCCGGCTCCCGCTGGAAGAAGAAGGCTTGTTTGTAAGTGGGGCCTTGGCTGTCTGCTCAGCAGGGAGCAGGGAGCAGATTAGAGGGCCTGCCCCTAATCCAGCCTGCTGGGTTTTACAAGGATCAGAGCAGCTGATAATGAACCTCATTAAGGGGGAGCAGGAGCCTCAATCCGATTTGGGGTTTTCTCTCTGACATCACTCTGTTCAGATGGCCTGGCTCTGGGTTGAGTGGGTGGGATGCCAAGCACACCCCCTGTGCTAGGACAGCTGGGATGGGGGGACAGGCCGGGATCAAACCCCCTTCCTCCTTGTGTCAGCCCTATGTTCCCTCTTTAGCTGCCTGATTCCTCCCAGCCTGGAGCCTCGTGTGTGTCCGAGGGTCCCTCCCTGTCTGTGTCCCTGCTCTAGTATTCCGCCTGCCCCCTCCGTCCTCCTGGGCCTGCTCTGCTCGTCTCCCCCTGCTCCACCGGGCCCTGGCTGGGGGGCATTGTGACCCTGGCCCACGAGAGGGTCACAGAGGCTCCCACAGGGCCCAGACCACTTGAGGACCCCTGCTCCCCCGCCACCTGCTGCCTGACAGTGCCAAATGCAGAGG